CTACATGGGGCTGCCCTTGAAGAGTATCCGGAAGCTTCAGCTGGTGCAAAATGCAGCAGCGTGGGCAGTTATGTGTGCCCCTAGGGCAATACATGTTACACTTCTGCTCTGTGAGCTGCACTGGTTGCCAGTTAGCTTCCATGTCCAATTCAAGGTGCTGATTTTGATCTGTAAAGCCCTTTATGGCATGGGACCGGCTTACCTGAGGGACTGACTCTCCCCGATTACAACTGTCCGTCCCATCAGGTCTGGCAGAGAAGACATGTTGTAGGTCCTGTCTGCCAGAGAATTACATCTGGCAGGTCCAGGAGGTGCCCACCTTGTGGAATCTTCTTCCCCCAGAAGTGAGATTAGCTCCACCCCTCTTAACATTCCACAAGTCCCTCAAGACCTGGCTATGTGATCAGACCTGGGGCTCCCAGGGGAATTTTGTGATGGCTCCCTTATTAATTTTATCCCCTCCTGTTTTGTGCGCTTTTATAGTTTATTTGTAATTGTTTTTATATATTCTTTTTAATTGTTGTACGCTGCCCAGAGTCATTTTGTGAGAGATGGGCAGCTATATAAATATGGTAAATAAATAAAATTACAAGTTGCATGTCTGTTGCATTCCCCCATGACCTCTGACTCTAGATAGGCCTTCCATTGAATCAGGCATTCTAAATGCTGCTTCTTGTGTGTAGAGTCCAGAATAGCCTCCACTTCATACTCTTCCTCCCTGTCCAACAGGATGGGGGGAGGTGAAGCTGTTCTAGTCCTAGTAAGCTGCAGTGGTGCACCTCCTACACAAGCAATGACTGATGGAAAACAGGATGAATCTTCATTGATGCCAGGAATTGTAAACAAAACACCACTGGGTTTATTGATTGAACCACGGGGAAGGAGCCAATAAACTTTGAGTCTAGCTTCTTGGAGGGTCAGGCAGAAGACAACAACTTTGTTGAAACCACACCAAATCCCATCTGGCGATTTTGTCACTCTCTTATCTGTGTGTGTCTGTAGCCCACTTGTATGCTGCCTTTGCCAGAACCAGCTGTTCCTTTAAGAAGCAGTGCACAGCTTACCTCTCCTGCAGGAAGTCTGAGATGTGAGGAACTGTAGATGCAGTAGTTCTGGGGGGCAACACGCAGAAGTGGAAGCTGTAACTCACCTGAAATGGAGACATGCCAATGGAGGAGCGTACTGAGTTATAAGCAAATTCTGCAAGATTGGACAGCTCAGTCCAATCGTCCTGTTGGTAAGTGACATAGCACCTTAAATATTGCTATAATATTTGGTTCAACCTCTCAGATTCTCCATTTGATGCCAGATACTGAGAAGATGACAAAGGAATTTTAATGTTTAATAATTTCAAAACTTAGCCGTAAATTGCAATCCACAATACTGTGTCCCACGGTTGCGAAAGGGAGCCTAGAGGTTCCAGCTGGCTTTCCAGGAACAGATTTTGTCAGGCGGTGCACATGACAAAATGAAAAATAATCTCTGACATCTGTCCTCACTCTTGGCCCCCATAAGTCTCTAAGAACCTGATGCTGAGTTTTAAACACTATCCCATGCCCAGCCATCCTATTGTCATGGTAGATTTGTGATTCTTCCCTTAAAGTGGAACGTCCTACCTCCTGAGGTGTGGTGTGCCCCCACTCTCATGGCCTTTAGGAAGGGCATGAAATCCTGGCTATGCCAGATGGCCTGGGGGCCGCATGGGGGCTCACATCAGTGGAAGTGGCTTGTGGAGTAATTGATGTTACTCCCCCGTCATCTTGAATGTTTTTTAGTTTTTATGTATAGGGTTTGTTTCTGTAGTTTGATGTTTTAATTAGTTAATTTTAATTAATGAATGGGGGTATTTATTTTTTAACTGTTTGTGGCTTTTACTTTTGTTGTGAGCCACCCAGAGTCACTCACTGGGGGAGATGGGCAGCATACAAATTTAAGGGAGGGAGGGAAACATATACATGACCATCGTGCATCAGCTGCCCTTCCTGAACCATGAAAGGTGAAGAATTGTCTTGTAGGTCTCCCTGGAGATCATCTATCTGAGCTCTGGTGTAAACCTGCCTCCCTGCTCCTAGTCTTTCTGGAGGACCCAACCTCTGGGGAGACTAAAGGTTGCTTGGTTGGAATATGGCAGTTGGGTGAGATGAGTAGGGAGGGTCATATTCAGGCTTAGGTGATAGGGTGTCTGGAAATTTGTTTTGTGAGCCAGGAATGTAGGAGATATGAAAATCAAAATGGGAGAAAAATTAGGCCCACTTGATCTGATACGTTCTCTAGAAAATACTGCCAACGATGAAGGTGCAGGAATTTCAGAACTTTTAAAAATATTACATGATGTAATTGATTTAATTAAAACATAATTAAAGCACTACTTGTGATTCATAAAGCAGGCATGGAAAGCACAGTGGTGGCCAGGGGGCTGAGAAAGATCAATTTATATTCCAGTACCGAAAAGGGGAAATGCTAAAAATATTCAAACGACTTAATAATTGTTCTTATCTTACAGTTTTTGCAATCCAGACTTCAACTATCCATAGAATGAAAAGTGCTAGACGTACAAAATAAATTAAAAAAGGCAGGAACATCAGAGGCCACACCGCTAAAAACAAGAATTTAGTGGGTCACCAATTACCTAGTGAAGAAATTTTATGATTACCAGGAACCAATAGTAGATGAAGTAAAACCAGACTCTTGTCTGGAAGCACTAAGAATAAAGTTAAAATGTAGATGTTTTAATCACATAATACAAAAGCAAGAGTTGCTGGAGAAGATCCTGATGACAGAAGGCAGTCGTAAAAAAAGGCTGACAGAAAACAAGATGGCTAGATATTATGGATGATGACACAAGCATCAACCTTCAAGGATACAAAGAAGCGGGGAGAGCGGGGTTGGATTATGTGCTATCAAGTTATTACTGATTGACAATCCTGGAGAAATGATGTCCACTGGGTTATGAAGAATCAGAACTAAGTGAACAACAAACAGCACAAGCAGTAAACATTAAACATTGCCCATCATTAAAAATATTTGCAATTTTTGCCTTCCTGTAACTAAACAAATTTCAAAATGATACACAATGCTGAGACAAACGTAAGTAGATCAGTGACTTTAATTCTGACTTTTGTAAATTATTGGACATTTTAAAATTCATGAAGAATTTCTGAAGAAAAAAATTAACTAAGTTAACAAACTTTTAGAAAAAAAATTAGGCAGCTATTCTGAAGCTGCATGTAAAAAAGCATGGCATATAGTACTGGGGTAGTCTGATGATTTGCAAATGTTAAGATACCATTTACTTGAAACTAACTAGGGACAAACCTAGCCACTGAAGTTGTTTCACAAAAGGAGTTGTTCACTAGTATACATAAAATAATACTTGATTTTTTTCATTTTTTTACACCAAAAAATTGTACAAATGAACATACGGTTCTGTAAGTTACTTTTTGCTGGAAGAACGGCCAGATAAAAAGAAGTCAAGTAACTAATTATTAAAAGTATAAACAAAACACAATGAAAACAAAGTTAAGGATTTTTTTTCTGCAAAGTAAATATTTTATAAATAGAAAACAAATCCACAAATTATTTGTATGCTAAATAAATATCTACTTAATAAAGTCAGGTTTAATTTTTCCAAACAGCACTGGCACAGTAATTTAAAAGATATAAAATTGTACTCATTCACGTAGTGTCAAAAACTGGTACTCAATGACTTAATATATTTCACTTGTTCTATTGTATTGGAAATGATGATTATAGCCTAGGTAGAATTCTTACAAAACTATGCCACAGCCTACAAAAGAAAATATAGTTCTCTAAACAATTTGAGAATTGCTGGTGCTGAAAAAAAGGCATTTGGACAGAAAATGGTCTTTAAAATACCAAAGCTACTATAAACCAGTACTGTATTCAATACATATCAAAATTATTAGACACTGAACAAAACTGTAGAAAAGGGAACCTTTCCTACATCATCCTGAGCGCTTAATAAATTGAGAATATAGTGCAGGCCACACTTCCAAGGTGTAGCAGATGTTATTGCTTTCTATGGCTGCATGATTTAAGTGTTTCATTTTCTATGAAAATATAAAGGTTTCCTCTAATTTAAGTCCTTTAAGAGGAAGAAGTTAGATCCGTGATTTTTTGGCTGCTGGAGCAACATGGTTCATGTACCCTGATGCAATAGGAAGTCCAAGTTTTTGAGCCTGAACATGAAAAAATGCCTGAAGTCTTGTTCCAGCCTTTGCTTCGCTTGTATTGCGAGGGTTATATTCAAAACAGTTTGAAAACATCAGCTCAACGTCCTCAATGAATTCCGCTGTAAGGAAAAATATAAATATGCCTTTATAGTCCCAAAAGTAATGATTTCTAAACAAAGAACTTATCATCAAATTGTAGTTGCTTTTGTGAGAGTTAATCCAATACAGTGATTAAGGACCAGAGAGACCTGGATTTTTTTTACTTGATGACCAATCTTACTGAACTGCTAAGCTTACTGAATAATTTGTGCCAATAGCTCTCCCATCCCAAGGTACCTCTCAGGTTGGGATCGTAAGGTGAGATCACCATCTTTCTCTCAGGAAAAAGACAGCATAAATGTGACAGCCAGACAAATGCATTCTAAAATTTTACCTAAATATTAATTGTGCTTAGATAGGTATATCCTTGGGGAATGCTGTGTTTCTGATTCAAAGGGGAAAAGGTGCTCCAGACCCCCAGGACCCAAGGAAAAGGTGCAGCTGCTTAAAGGAGCTGCCAGTAGGTGCAATGTAAGGAGTGACTCTGCACTTCAAAACATACTTTTCACTTTGAATCTGAAGCACTGCAGAACCCTAATATTCTAACCATCACTGCATCCAATACAGGCCCAAAGCTGTTGGAGCTGTTGAACTGGAGGCTTATATTCCGGTGTTATTTTCTATATTCTTTATCCAAAAGCCCCTGAGATTATGTAAATTAAATTGTTTTAAACATTGTTAATTTGTTCAGTCAACATTACTTACAGGCTACTTTGTATTCACATTTGTTCACTTTTTCACGGATTATGTTTAAAGCGATAGGTTTTTTAATTATATCATAGTAGTCTGGTACCTGTACATTGTAAAGTAAAACATAAATTTTACATTGTTATAATACCAATAATAAACATTCAAGGGACAATTTCATACAAAATAAGGTAATTTTTTCTTCATTCCTAGGCCAGTAAGTCCTTTGCTTCCAAGCAATTGGTCCTGCTTCTTTGATGTGAAGAATGAAATTCTTATGAACATATTTGACATAGTCTGTTACCTCAGATTAGTTTTCAGATTGTGAGTAAGAGAATTATAGCGGTGCTTAAAAGTTTGTGAACCCATTTGAATTTTCAATATTTCTGTATAAATATGACCTAAAACATGATCTGTTCTCCACACAAGTCCTAAAAGTAGATAAAGCAATGAAATGATAATCAGGTGTGAGTGTGGGAGGTCCTGCCTAAACAACAGAATTCTGGGTATTCACTATCAAAGTCTGATTTCAACACAGGTATGTGGAAGTGTGTCATGACTTGAACAAAGGAGATTTCTGAAGACCTCCGAAAAACAGTGGTTGATGCTCACCAGCCTGGAAAAGGCTACAAAACTATTTCCAAAGAATTTGGACTCCACCACTCCATTGTCAGGCAGTTTGTGTGCAAATGGAGACAATTCAACATCATTATTACTCTCCCCAGGCGTGATCAACCAACCAAGACTCTGGGAGGTCTCAAAGAACACCAGGGTAACGTCTAAGGATCTAAAGGCCTCTCTTGCATTGTCAAATGTCAGTGTTCATGAGACCAACGTCAGGAGAACACTGAACAACAATGGTGTGCAGGCAGGGTTGCAAGGAGAAAGCCACTACTCTCCAAAAAGAACACTGCTACCTGTCTACAGTTTGCGAAAGACCACGTGGATAAGCCAGAAGGTTGTTGGAAAAATATTCTGTGGACGGATGAGACCAAAATAGAACTTTTTGCCTTGAATGAAAAGCATCATGTTTGATGAAAGGCAAACACTGCATTCCGGCATAAGAACCTTATACCATCTGTGAAACATGGCAGTGGCAATATCATGGTTTTGGCCTGCTTTACTGTCTCTGGACTAGGATAGCTTGCCATCATTGATGGAACTATGAATTCTGAATTGTACCAGCAAATTCTACAGGAAAATGTCAGGGTATCTGTCCATGAACTGAAACTAAAGAGAAAGTAGGTCATGCATCAAGGCAATGACCCAAAACACACAAGTCCTATGACGAAGAATGGTTGAAGCAGAAAAAAGTTAATGTTTTGGAATGGTCAAATCAAAGTCCTGACCTTAATCCTATAGAAATGTTGGGGAAGGATGTAAATGGGCAGTTCGTGGGAGGAAGCCCACCAACAACCCTGAACTGAAGCTTTTCTGTAAGGAGCAGTGGGCTAAAATTCCTCCAAGCCAATGTGCAGGTCGGAAACAGTTGTCGGAAACATTTAGTTGCAGTTATTGTTGTCCAAGGGGGACTCATCAGTTACTGAAAGCAAAGGTTCACATACTTTTGCCACATACAAATATGTAGTTTTGGATAGTTTTTGTCAATAAATAAATATGTATAATGTTTAATGTTTTG